AACTGTACGTAGCTGGTCAACTAGTTTTGAATTCAGACTAGGCTTGTTGAGTTCTGGGGTTTCTAGAGGTAAGATTTGATGGTGCCAGGTTTGTTCAGGCAGACATGGAAATTATGTGATGAATATATAGGTATATAAAAATCATATCAATATAAAAATAGATCCAAAAATAGATCCAAAGATTCACACGGCAGTCAGGGAACTTCCAGACAGGATGCTTTTGAAACAGGTATAATTAGCGCTTTTGTAATTAATTGTATGCAAGGGATGGGATGCTGATCAACTAAGCTGGTTCAATGCCCCAGCTATTTAGGGGGAGCCACTCAATTTCACGCCCAGGTGTTGTCAATTGCTGGGTTTCCAGTATCAGCTTTTTGATACGGCTCTTAATAATTGAGATGGGGGAGGAAAGGTCGGAAAATTTACTAGAGCCAGGGACCATGACATTGTTTTCATTAGGAGTGCATTTGTCGAATATTTTATCAATCGATAGACCTTAAAATGACTCGTCCAGATCCAGTTAAATCCTTAAATTTGAAATAACTCAATAGCTGAAATTTATGATGACACTTTGTATGCTTGACCCCCAGACCGCCATTTTTGAAATTCATAAAAATAAATTGTTTTCAAAAGGTGTAGAATTAAATGGCGGTCAACATGGTGGTAACGATTTGTTGATAGACCTTAAAATGACTCGTCTAGATCCAGTTAAATCCTTAAATTTGAAATAACTCAATAGCTGAAATTTATGATGACACTTTGTATGCTTGACCCCCAGACCGCCATTTTTGAGATTCATAAAAATTAATTGTTTGCAAAAGGTGTAGAATTAAATGGCGGTCAACATGGTGGTAACGATTTGTTGATAGACCTTAAAATGACTCGTCCAGATCCAGATAAATCCTTAAATTTAAAATAATTCAATAGCTGAAATTTATGATGACACTTTGTATGCTTGACCCCCAGTCCACCATTTTTGAGATTCATAAAAATTGATTATGTTCAAAAGGTGTAGAATTAAATGGCGGTCACCATGGTGGTTACGATTTTTTGATAGTCCTTAAAATGACTCGTCCAGATCCAGTTAAATCCTTAAATTTTGAATAACTCAATAGCTGAAATTTATGATGACACTTTGTATGCTTGACCCCCAGTCCGCCATTTCGGCTCCGTCTACTGTATTAGACGGAGATGAAGCTTCCGGGAATTTCTCGGAGATTAATTCATACAGAATTAACAAAATTACCGTAGATGGTCTCCGGTCGTGGAACTGCAAACTCCGGAGAAATATCAGTAGACGATCTCCGTCTAATAATAAGGTTCATTGTTTATTATTCTGATCCAAATTTTAGAGTGCTTCTTGAAGAAAGATATCTTTCACTGCGTTGGCCTTCGTGTAGTGGCAGAGGAAAGTTCTTTTATGAGTTCCGTGAAGCTGGTAGAATTAGGATCCAGATTTGAGATTAAACGAAGAACACTATATTCATTAATCACGGTGTCGTAGCACGCTATCACAATTCGCATGATTATTTGATAAATTTTCCTAACAAGATAAACAATTTGCTTTTATACTAAATACTTTTCAAATTTCACATCATACTATACCCCGGATTAGATGATCTATTGCAATATGTTGCAATGGAGTTTCTAAAATGTATATCATAACTTCCATTTTTTCAGGTTTTATTGGTGTTGTAGACGATCACTGAATTCTGTAGCTCTGTGAGATTTGTGGCTTCATCGAATTACATCACGCAGACTTGAATGAAAATCTGAAGACGTGAACTAGATCTGCTAATGCTATTCTCTCTTTAGCAAATAGCAAGAGGTTAATTAAATAAGCAAGGGTAGATTAAAATATAACAATCTTTTGAAACATATGACATCGTGTATTTTACTGAAGTTTGTTGGAGGATTGAAATTCAATTCCAAATGCTACTTTCGCAGCTCAGAATGGTTATAATTTTAATCTTAAAGTAATGCAATGTTATTTTTCAATCTGCTACTGACAGCATTTGTTATCTGATATTTTTAATGGGGATAGAGTTTGAGTAGTTCAACAATCATGCACATTAGTGTTTATGTCACTCAGTGTTAACTCTCTCGATTCTCCGTCTCCCTCAATGTTTGATGACCGTCCCAGTGTTTCCCTCCGTATCCCTGCCTATTGACTGTCCGTCTCACTGTGCAGTGTTTAATATCTGTCTTTCAATTTTCAATCTCTATCTCGTGTTAAATAGTTCTCTCTGTATTTAATGTCCGTCCAACTCCTAGTGTTCAATATCTGTCTCATCGTTTATTTTCCGTCTCGCCGTTCAATCTCCGTATCGGTGTTAAATCTCTGTCTCACTGTTCAATCTCTGTCTCATTGTTAGGTATCCGTCCCTGTATTTACTACCCTCTGCTTGATCTGGCCTAACCTAAGATTGATTGGCTATTGAATTGTTTATCACATTGATTATCAATTTTTTCCCTTGTGCTTTTTTTACATCTATGTATTTGGTAGAGTATAAGTTTGAGACAATTCCTTAAGAGTTAAATATGTTATCATGTGAACAATTACTCGATGGTATAATAACCAGGGCAGAAGACATTAGATTCGACGCCATCTCAAGGTGCAAGGAGTGTATGATTGTAAACGTTTTGGATTAAGCTACAGATTTTGGAACTTTCCGATGGTAGGTAAATTCTCACCTACTTAACGGATTTTTCAGCGGAGTTTCATTGCAGTGTTTAAGGGTTCTCGGATAATGCTCTTATAAATTCATTATTTTACATCTGTGTTTCATTTTGTAAAAGAGATTTCAAGTATAAAGATGATGACAATGACATGTCCGTTCTATAATTCGAGTCGAAAGATGCGCATTGCGCGCGAGATGTTTTGATACTGTATATACTGCTTGGCCATGGCCCAGGAGACTCATTTTTCCGTCATATTGTTTGATACTGCTCGGCCATATTTCCGTCATATTGTTTGATACTGCTCGGCCATGGCCGAGGAGGCTCATTTTTCCGTCATATTGTTTGATACTGCTCGTCCATAGCCGAGGAGGCTCATTTTCCGTCATATTGTTTGATACTCCTCGGCCATGGCCGAGCAGGGTCATTAAAAAATAATCCTCCTCGGCCGAATGAGCCTCCTCGGCCACGTGAGTATGGTTTTTTATTATTTTTTTTTAATGAGCCTCCTCGGCCACCATACTTTACATTGTATCACGTGGTAACTCCCACTGTCGCTTCACTCGTGCGCGGTGGATCATACAACGTATAACAAACTCTATGCCGAACGCTTGAACTTGAAGATTGAGTTAATCTTCAAGATGTTGCTCCGATCAAAGAATTTAAAATGACAATTCCAGTTCATAATGTTACACTGTGCACGGGATTTAGAAAAATAAACATTATATATTATAATCCGTTGTTTCAATATTTTGTTTTCTTTGTTAATCACTAACTGATCGATGATCTAACTTAAACTGTGATCTGAGAGAAGCTTTATCAGTGTGCGAAGCTTTATCAGTGTGTAGTGTGCGTGCAATACTGCGCCGTGACGTAATAGGACAAAAAGTACCTGCCACCAATGGTCAACACCAAAAGCGCGGCGTACTGCGCGCGACCAACTATTTCGCCCGTACAATATACGGAACAAATATTTTACGAGTATCACCCGTAAAACTTCATACGACGCTCAAAACGCTTAAATTTTACTTTTCGAATTTCCCCAAGGCTCATGTCGGTTTTACTAATTCACTCACCATGGATTATAGAAAAAGCGCTCTACTTTGTATTTCTCATCGAATATAAAGATGACCAATGATATTGCAGTGTTTAAGTCACGCGATTGCTTTAACCAGACCCCTTTTGCTTGCAGTAGTGCGTAACCGCCAAAGGTGCGTTCACAGGAGGGGCTAAGTGCAAAGAAACTGCTGCTCACTGCTGCTCACTGCTGCTCACTGCTACTAACTGCTGCTCACTGCTGCTGTCGCGCGCGCCCATAGCAGCAGTGAGCAGCAGTGATCAGCAGTGAGCAGCAGTGAGCAGCAGTGATCAGCAGTGAGCAGCAGTGAGCAGCAGTGACCAGCAGTGAGCAGCAGTTTCTTTGCACTTAGCCCCTCCTGTGCGTTACGCAGTACGCTTAGACTCATAGCTATGTGAAGCCACGTGACAACGCGCGCTTGCATGTGCTTGAGATCAAATACAAATTTTTGTTCCTTCCTTTCACTCGCTCTTTGCATTATGCTTTTTGATAAACCTATTGATCAGTTCAAATGTGCGCGCGAGCACTTGCGTGGCTCAATTATCCAACACTCATATGTACATCGTAACAGGCAATGGTTCAATTTAATTATTGTAAGGGCACAGCCTGTCAAAAAGCCTTTTCACATAATCCGTCGACACCGCCTGAAGGTGACTGCATAATAACAACATTGAACACATTGTCATCGGAAGCTTGCAGCTTCCGATGACAATGTGTTCAATGTTGGTTCTAATCTGGTATCATGCTTGAGTTGGTTTTGGACCTCTTCATGCTTTTAATTTATTTATTATTGTTATTTGGTATTATGAACTAATATGTACATGTAAATGCGGAATCTAAAAGTTAAGTGTATAGCGAGCATATTTAACAATTTTTAAGCAATAATGTATTGCGAGCAGTTGATTCTCAACGGGTAATACTTGTAAAATATCTGTTCCATATATTGACGAGTCCAACTCGGCGCGCGTCCTGGTAGGTTGTTAACCTACAAGTGGTTGCGAGAAGCATTATTCAATGAAACAATAAGTTTTCGATGAAACAATAAGTTTTCAATGAAACAATAAGTTTTATTTTACATTCCTTTCATAAATAAAATAAGAGCTTAAACCACGAATTAGTTAACTAGAAGTAAACTTGAGGAAATATTCTTAAGTCACCCCGGCACGCGCAGATGGGACCTCCTTTGGACGTTTTATTGCTTATTTTGATAGGAAACGTTTTGTAGCCGAATGAAAATAACAACTTTTTATTTGAGTTATTAATAATGATACAATGTGATTGCAAATTATTTGGCAAACATTACTGTAAAAGATTCATAAAAATTGGTAGAATTTTATAGTTAATATGATTAAAAGACTCCGCACATAACCAACTTTTTAAACAAATACGCGTCAAAGATTAGTAGTTCAATTGCGAATATCATATTTTGTTAAAAGTTTTGTTTGCTTTTTGACCTTATACTCCGATAGCCGAATATCTTATCTACAATACAATATAATTTTTATGTACACATTAACCTACTTTAAAAAATGAGTGAAGCTAGAACGAAAGAGATGTTGTGACGATAATTTCTAGTTTTAGTAGCGCAATAGAATACGTCAATAATACCCTCTTGAAACAATATTTAGGCTTCAAGTTCATTACAAATAACGTTAATAGTATTCACAGTCAGTTTTTAGACCGACTTTAATTCTATCACACGAAACAAAGGTCAGTGAGTAGTAAACCCTTTATTCAAAATTGTCACTTTCATTTGAATCCAGAGCAAACAGGAGATTCATTTTACAAGTTGCAGTATCGGGTCTGATTACGGTTTCCAATGGTTTCCACTTCTGAAAATAAATCTGAAATGAAGCTAGGAAATAAATAATGTACACATATGAAATACAAGATAGATTCTTATTCTTAAGACGGGAGCCCGCGGTCCCGTCTTTACTCGTCGAGGGCGTAATATTAGAAATAATTGCTTCCACTGAGTCTTGAGATGAAAGCTATTTTTAACCAGATATACAATGTTACACAGACGGCTCCAAAATGAATGAAAAAGTTGGAGCAGGAGTGTACATTGTGGACAACGACAACCCCACATGTGAGGAGTTATACCACCTAGGAATAAACTCAACCGTCTTCCAGGCCGAAACCTTTGCCGTAGGCACTGCGGCAAAAATATTACGGGAATCTGGGACCAAAACTAGAAAAATAATCATAAACTGCGATAGCCAGGCGACAATAATGGCAATGAGCAACATCAAAGTCAAATCTAAAAGCACCAGCACGGCTATAAGTGAGCTTAACTGTTAACCAACTAGCAATGGACAATCAAGTCCTACTACGATGGATACCAGCTCACAAAGGCTACGATGGCAACGAAAAGGCAGACTCTCTTGCCAAAAAAGGCTCCGACAATCTGGACTCCGCTCAAGTGCAACTACCAATACCAAAAGTATTATGGAAGGGAGCACTGCGGAGTATAAGTCATCGGAAGATGAGGGAAAGATGGAGAACTTTACCCAACACTTACTTTTACAAGTTGCAGTATCGGGTCTGATTACGGTTTCCAATGGTTTCCACTTCTGAAAATAAATCAGAAATGAAGCTAGGAAATAAATAATGTACACATATGAAATACATGATAAATTCTTATTCTTAAGACGGGACCCCCGGTCCCGTCTTAACTCGTCCCGCGAATTAAAATGAATTTTAGTGCGCGTCACTGGTGTACTTTTCTTAGGCGTTTAGTGGTTAAAGGGAGGTCCCATCTTACAGCGTCGAGTTCAAATCTTGAGCAACTGTGAAATTTAATCGAACTTTATTACTTTTGTTTGTGACTCTGAAAATGATTATTCCAGACGTTTATGAAATTAGGAACTTACGTAGATGAGGGCAATCTTCGATACTACTATTAAAAGCTTCCCAATTATTTCCATCCACCTAGGACTGCTTCAGAAAAATTTCTTATCTTGTAGAATTCTAAACTGAAAATAGTTGAAAGTATCATTATAAGAAATGCATAAATTCCACAATAAGACTTTTGGTTATACATTAATCGTGAGACATTATCTGTTATTGCTTAAAAGTAATTCGTCCGGAGTCCGGACGAATCCACGGGTACAGTATGGGGTAGGTGTGCTGAGTACTTCATTTGGTGCCAAGATCAAATTCATCACATTTCATGTGAAATCTGGCCTCTAATCAATTGCTGGAAGATCTGGATACTGGTGAGTATTAGAAAGGAAACATTTTCTGACACATAGTGATCAACCAACCAGCTCCCTGGCTCCCAGCATTGACCAATCAAATCCCATCATCCTTATCATATGCTAAGAAAATGTCAGTCACGTGTAATTTTTAGTACTGACGCAGAAAACTGACTGATAGTGTTAAGAACCGGAAGTTTTGAGATTGAGAGACCAGGAGAAAAGAAGAAAGAAGACTTAAGCCTGCTCTTTGAGTTGACCTGTGGGATTGAATAATAAGGTAGGTGTAATCGCATTATTATGACATGACTGTTATAGCTAAAACTGTGCATGGTAATAAGAAGGATATACTTCCGGTTTCGACCTTATTCCCAGACCCAGCTTATTGATTATTTCTGAGCCCGGCCAAGCTAAAAAGCGGTCCCGGTCGATCCGTGTCGACAAGTTTATAAAAAACAATCGCACTTCCGGTTATCAATCGACTTACAGTCCCTTTAATGCTGAAGGAAATTCACCTTTACTCTATAAAGTTACGTTATGCAGTCGAGGACAGTTAAAAACAGACAGTAAAACACTGTAATCTATTTATTTCAGCGCCCAGCTTAGTATTAAAAACGTGTCCTAATATAACCCTAGTCGTAGTGTTACGATCTTTGAAGAATTACTCTATATACGTCTGTTCCAATTCTTGTTTGTCACCAGTTACGAAAAATTACGTCTCAGTTTACACTGCACTTCTACATCAATAAACTACACAAACAACACGCCAAGACTGAAAATAAACCACATATATAATATACACTATACAGCATATTATGGCCTACATTATAATCATGCGCTGTGGTGGATTACGAAAACAAGTGTGAGATTATCAAATTAAAACACTATTCAACATGTCGGACACAGTGCAATTTAAGTAAAACCTAAAGTAAACAGCCGAAAACTGTACACACAAACACTGTGTTTGCATAGCAAGCAACACTCAGTGGGGAGTTTGGAGGGAGGGATAGATCCAGCCGATGTATACTAGTGCTTGCGGTGCTTGGAGTAAGAAGATTCCTCTCTGATCATTATACTTCACTTCTCTTAAAAAAGAGTGGTGTAGTGGTATTTCACTCGCCTCCCACGCAGAAGACCGGGGTTCAAACCCCGTCTGAGCAGGCAGGCCAGGTCACCAAGCTGTGATTGGTACAGGATTTATCCTGGTAATTATGCTCGGAGGATATCAGTGACGCGATTCCCACTTCAGTGTAAGCTGCAGTGTAGCTGTAATAGTCTACCGCCATTCGGAATGAGTGTGAACTTGCTTACCAGGCAATCATGATTTCCGCTTGGTACTCATCAGGTCTCTAAGACAGTGTGCTGATATGCATTGTCATATGTACTTCCTAGAAGCAGCACACGGCCCATTTCGGACTTGCACGAGTTATAATTATATTAAAAAAGCAGAACGATATCAGCTTTTGTTGCAGCGCATAACCGACTTGTACAAAGCTTCGAGGACCCTTTCGTCTTAACTGGGGGGGAGGGGGGGGGGGGCAACCATATTAAAGTATATTAAAATGTAGGTTTTTTTTCCAATTTTGACCCCCGGGATATACTTTAATATACTTTAATATACTTTAATATACCTACATTATAAAACATTATGTGACAAATTTTGTTTTATTTAATGTATGGATTAGATTTACCTTTCATGTAAAGTTAGTCTTGTTCAAAGATATTGATACTTGACCAATTTATGAGCCAAAATTTATGAAGTATGAGTTCAAGGGACTAGCAAGTAGCAAATGGCTTATCTTCTAATCTACTAATTGTAGGTATATATTAAAGTATATTAAAATGTAGGATTTTTTCCGATTTTGACCCGGGGATATACTTTAATATGGTTGCCACCCCCCCCCCCCACCCCCTTAACTCTATGAGACCACCACATAAAGAAATCATGGCCAATGCACTATCGACGACTGATTAAGCCTCAAGCCGCCCCAAATCCTGATGAAATCCTTGGATCCGATAGTTTTAAAATTCAATGCATATCTAACTTCTCCAATCCAACACATATGCTCTCAGTCTCTTGTATCTGATTCTGTCCCACAGTGCTACATGAAGTGATCCCTACATTGACCCCATCGTACAAGAATGGTAGCAGGCCGTACCGTAGGACACTTCCATCCAACTGTCCTGTTTGATGTTTCTCTCACATCCCAGGAGATCAAGTTCTACATTATAAAGTTATAAGTTCTACAAATACATTCGCAAGCACATGATAGGAGAAATGGATATATTTAAAAGATTGTTGAATAACTCAACCTATATTACTGGAGAGTATATAAAGGACTCTAAATATTGGATTACGGAACCCATCTGTCAGCGGGATTTGCTAATTGTATGACAGGCCCTATAATAAGTAGGTAATGAACAATACTATAAAAACTGCACGTGACTTTTAGCGCGCACGAGTAAATTACTTGCTTTGTTTGTAATTTTAACCAAATTTGCTAGTTTCAGTCACAATAAAAGACTGTCCTTTCTCTCCTATTATATGTAAATAATTACTACACCGTTTGATATTCTTAAATCACAACCCTTTCACATAAAACACTTACGTATTGTGTAGGCTGCCAAATGTAATAAAACCAAGATGTGATATTCTTCTTCACCTGGAGAAATAATAATAATATTAATGAAAGTTATCAATGAAAGTTATTTAGGTGTTCTAAATTGTCAAATTATAACAATACATGCTTCATTTGAATCGGCGAATGTGAAGAAGGTCTAAACACCTTTGAGGCTTGGCTTGTAATTGAAGTAATACCCGCCTTAAATCCGTCAGTCTATTGGTTGAGCATTAAACTAACAGAACCTTCTCCCCGCAGTATAATGTAACCTGACAAAGGACCATTACTCTGAGTTCATAAAAATCGTTTAGAGAAACCAGTGTTTGTTACCTTGAAGAGATAAGGGTGTGAACAGTACTACCAGTAATTAAAGTTAGTTATGTTGCCAGATGCCGGTATTAAAATATTTCATTATGGTAAGCTACCGATAAGAATTTCACGAGTGTTTAAGCTACACAACGTCATCATTTCCAAGATATAATTTAGTTTCACTGGTTTTGATTCATGATTAATTGGAGCAGTGAAGAGTATGACATTTGGTTTTGAACACGAGGTTATAGAGGGACCCCACCATTTCCACATGTCAAATCCGGACCAACGCCCAGACTATTGAAACATTCCTGAACGAATTCCGTTATAGCAGCTAGATTATAGTAGATAACATGGTTACACTAAATAATTTACCATGGTGTACTGCACAGTTACCTATAGTAACCGCCCTGTTTATTGATTATAGTCCCTTGCTTTCTTTGATGAGCTATTCAGATTCATTATGTTTTTGATTTTGATTTTGCAATTAAAGTTTTTACCAAGTGACCCGGTAAAAATTTATAATTTTGCTGTAGATAGTTTTGTTTACATCTTTTCATGAATTAACTGTATAAAAGTTGTTTTTTTATTTATTTGCTTTTCATCACTGTTTATAACAGTACATAGACAAAGACTTTATAGAAGAGCATGGTAATACACAGCATGGTGCCAACTAATTCTCATGAAACTTCATGTTGTATATTCAGAACGAAAAGAAATATTCCAATATAGTCTAGCAATAAATTATTCTGAAGTATCGAAATTAATAGATTTAAAAGCTTGCTAGCAGTGGTTGAGATAATGGGAAGTACTAATCAACTGTTAAAGAACTGTCACTGCTCTGCTGAGGACTGCAGATAGACTCAATGTCTAGGTTCCGTGGGATTTATGTTCAGTGGGCATACAGTCATTATTCCTCTACATGTACAGATGTCTGGGGACCTAGTTTGTGATTGTTAATATCGGCTTCAGAACTTGTGACTTCATCCTGCTTTGAAATCTTATTTTTTAAACCCGTTAGGTCCAATATGTAATCTAGGGGTCAGCTGGTCCGTGTTCAGTGTAATTTTACAGTAAATAGTAGCGTACTGCAGCGTAATACAGTACTGAAATCACCATCTCCAGGTTGGACCACGAGATGCCCCCCAGTACTGATGGTACATGACTGGCTGGATAACTGCTACTCTTTTGTTCCTCTGTTAACAAAGCTTCCTAAAAACAGGAGATATATTTGCTATAAGATCTGCCTGACACGGCTACACGTCTCAAAACCTAAAATTCAAGCGTACACTCACACCAAGGTATTATAGGTACATTATAGGTACATTATAGGTACTGTTATATTATTATAGTGTGAACAATCAAAACACCTATGTACCGGCAAACCGCCGATTTAACCGCGGCTTTTTCCTTTCTCCCAAACTCCGTGTTAAATCGGGTTTATTCTTCATATAACAATAAATTTAAACGGCTCAGTGGCTCAGTTGGTTAATCCGCCTGGTATTGCTAAGGTACCGAGGTTTTCGAGTTCCCCGACTCTGTCCTAGCCGTGTGGTGGAGCCGTCGTTGACGCTCAAGCTAAGGAATCCTGAGTGGTCCTATGCATGCACCCCGGTTTCCACTCAGACCAAATACTCGAGAAATCGGGTGTGAGGGTTTAAATGATGAGCTGCCCCATTGCAGCAAAGTCTCGCGAAGAAAGTAGGTAACAACTACCTTAACCGTCACTGGCCTAATGTATAGATTGAACTCCTTCGGCTTCCTGTAATTTGGCTGGTTACACACTTGTGTAACAATGTGCGGTTGGAATGTCCAGGTAAAATAAGGGTTGAGATAACAAAAAAATTGGATCACTGAATTTGTAATTGTAACGACTATCGTTTACCATTGGTAACACTAATGAACCATTGTAGAACTATAGTAATCATGGTAACACTCTCGCAGATTATATAGTTGATTTGGGAGCATGTTCGTGAGAGGCGAAGCGGAACAATTCTCACCTGATTGTCACAGATTAGGCGGCAAGGATCCTCGAGGTTAGATTAATGCCTAATCTTACAAATATACATTATACATTCTACAAACTAGCTAACTTTAGATTAGAGTTTGCTTTACAACAATATACATTCACCAACAGCTAACTTTAGATTTGAGTTTGGCTTACATACAATATACCTTCTACCAACACGCTAACTTTAGGATTAGAGTCTTGCCTTACATAACGATATACATTCTACCAACAAGCTACTTTAGAATTAGAGTTTGCCTTACGATACAATATACATTCTACCCAACAAGCTAACTTTCGTGGATATTTTGTGCAAAATTTAGAGATAACAAATATAACATCCCACAAGGTATTTACACAGCGACGTCCCTGAATAAAATAGACAAGTGTGTAGCAATAGACGTCCTCCCTTCCGACCAGCCTAATGACGCAAGTGGTGGAGAATCTGAGGAAAGCTACAGATATGCTGTGGACGACACTTTTCAACCACAAGATCTGAACAAAGATTTAGAAGTCTGTCAGAGAAATCACACGGGACAGTGGTTCTAAAAGGGGTATGGACCCGAGGTGGCTCATTTCATGTTGGTTAGGAGTATTCAGATGCTGCCGGAGGGGCTCCAGTTCACTTACGATAAAGGCTCCGGTACCCCGCGTAAGTTCTGGCCTTCTGTATAAATTGTACAACTGTGGTATACACTGTGTATACCGCTGTGCATACACTGTTTGTATGTCTATACTGTGTGGTTTATACAGTATACTGTATACTGTATAGTGGTATACAGTTGTTTTTTATTGAGCAGAATGCAGCACACTTGATATTGACTCATTTTTATTTTTTTAAAAGATTAGTTCCAGCAATAAATTATATAATGTGCAACCTGGTTACGAGATAGTACCTACATTTTTTTAGATTAATACGTATGACTAAAGAGTACTATTCCCCTTGATTAAAAGCTGGCAGAATCCCATTCTCTATCGTCATTGCTACAGATGGGTTCAAACATTCCACCACCCCACATCATACATAGAAGGTATAGTTTGTTTAGTGTTAAATCTGTTCTCGAGTATGGCAAATATCTATGATACTTATACATGCTTCTGACTCCGTCCAATTTTTCCATACACAGATACCTGATCTGATCAGAACTCACTGCGCAGGTATATGACTACCTGAACAAGCACCTACAGTAAAGCATTAGAACGTGCCGTGCCCGCACCACCTTCACAATGTCTAATACGGAGACGTCGGTGGCTGCCGTGTATCAGCTTCCTGGGTTTATGTAAAGATGGTCAGGGACACCCCCTCCCTTAGGAGTTTAAAGGATTGTAGTTGTTCTCGCTCTGCTCCGAGTTAGTTGTTATTATCAGGACGTCCTCCTCCGTTCGAGTTAAAGGGTTGTAGTTGTTCACATCTCGATTTGTAGTTGTTAATATCAGGACAGTTCCTCCTCCGTCGAGTTTTAAAGATTGTAGTTTATTATTTAGTTATCACTCCTGTTATCTTGTGATATACATTAGGTATACAATTTGACGTCATATTTTCTGTCTAACCATTATTTTGTGTCATTTGTACACATTTTGAAATGGAACTTTGGCTTTAGCCGTTTTTTTTAGCCGTTGTTGTTTTGAAATATTTATTTTTCACGGTTCTGTACGATTTTAAATGTGATCTTGTATAAAAATAGAATGTAATTTCTAGCTGTACAGTGGAGATCCCACGGATCTTTAGCTGATGTTTGGTTTACCAAAGTTCCTTGATTTTCAATTTTCGAAGCTATAATTGAATTTACATTTATTTAATTACATTAATCTGTATCAACCAGATAAGATTTTACCTATAATTCTAACAGTAAATAAGCGATTATCAAATAATAACAATTAAATTATCTAAAGTTCAAATGATCTGAGATTGATCATGATGAGCAAGAGAAAGTCCGAGGTAATCTCTCCTCCGAAAGTAAAAAGAAAATCACCTGATGCTGGCAATAAGAACGAGCAACACTCCGATATGCTCAGCAAGCTCCATTTGATTTCGAGAAGAACGGTTTCAAATAACGTGTTTAAAAGCAAAGGCGTAATAAAAAAGGCAGCTCACTCGGTAATGTCAGTTTAAAAACCTCAGTAACGTAGTAAGTACGGAGATACTAAGTGCTCTGTTTGCGCAGATAACCCTTCTTTATATGTTTCTAGTGCACGAGTGAAGGCCTGATAGATGATGTAAATAAAGTGGACTAGAGTCTATTTCTTCGTGCTAATCGTGAATTTCGTTTTAAGTTGGCGGTTTAGATTACTCATCTCGAGTGAAAGTGATGCGACAAAGCTTCCTGGTATCGTCAAGACAATCGGTGAGAAGACTGATGAGTTTTCATATGCGACCTGGAAAATTGAAGAAAATTGAAAAAATAGATTAAAGACCGAGGTAATGGTTATTGTTTTTAACTTTTATTTCAAAGGGTTACAGCGTGTGTCCAAGGTTTTAATTTCTATATCAAAAAGAAGAGTTCAATCTAAGATTTCAAAAGCTTCATAACTTTTTATATGCATTATCAAAAACGGTAACAATCGTTCTCAGCATTTTTTATAGAAAACACAGTTTGATTATATCCTTTTCAGACATCTACCGCAATATCCCTTCTAACTCGAGTAAACGGTATAGTGCCTGTAGCCGCCAGGCCCCAGGTAGAAAAGGGGTTACTTCTTTATAAGACCTGAAGAAGATAAAAGATACTCTTGTCTCATGCTCAGCAATTGACTC